TTAATTTTTATTTTTCCAAAATTTCAATTACACAATGTATATAAAAATCATAAAAGTATATTAATATTGTATAGAATATAGACAGTAACTATATTCAAGTATTAAGTAACAATATAATTATATTATAATAACTTGCATTTAATTGGTATTAGAATTTATTTACATTTAATTTTTTACTTTCATTTTTCAAATATTTTTTTTGAAAAATTATATGTTTCTGTAATTAACTAAACTGGCAAATATTTTCGTTTTGTTAGTTTAATTTATTTACTTATGCAAATTGAGGAGAAATTACTGAGTAATGAACAGTAAAATATTTTGTAAGCATTCAATAGTTTCCTTTGTTTAAAGTAATTGTTAATAATTTAAATAAATGATTTCATTTATTATAACTTATTTTGCATATTGACAAATAACTAAGTAAATATAACTACATTTAAATCTTTATTATTTATTGAAAAATGGGTAATATTAAAATAAATTGTTGGAGAATTACTGGCTTAATTACATTTTTTAACAGTAGTGAATTTTATAATAATCAAAAAAAACCAAAAGAATTATTATTTAGTTCCTGCCAAATTTATTGGCGAAAATTATTGCTAATAGAAAAATAATTTAACCTGGTATGAAGTCATATACCAGCGAATACAGCATCTCCATCTTTTAAAAATCAGTACTGCATAAAATACTTAACAGATATAACGCCTGGGTAAAAAAGGAAGTTTACGTATGATGAATATACCAACAGAGAAAACAGCTAACAGAATATACGTATAACAGTAAGTTGCTGTTGATATTGGTTTTGAAATCAAATCAGCCAATTAATACTATAATTTTGTGAATTTGAACACTCTAATTTAATGTATAGAATAATTTATATGAATATTTTATAGGTTATATCAGCGGCAGTGGTAGCACTTCAGCCATTCACCGATTTCTTCTGATGCCATTTGCACAATAATTTGCTTCCCTATATCCATAATTTGAAAATCAGTTTGACACCTTAATGATATTAAGCAAATTTTCCTTGATTTTGCAGCAAGGGTTAATAATTTGATCGCTAGCCTTCCTAGATAACATAATTTCATAGTCGTAAGGGTAGGAACATTTAGCAACATCTTTTCTATTGGACAATGGGACATTATTACAGATTGATCGTTTCAGTACATTCTTTATTAATAATATGTTGGTGTTATAAAATTTATTATAGTATTCTGCTTTGATGAAGAACGAAAATAAATTCGAATCGCTTGCAGTTTTTATATAGGTTATATGTATAGTTATATATAATATCTTTATACAAACTAAAAAACTGCTCTTATTATAATAATTACAAATAAAATCTTTAAGTAATCTATCATTTTATTACTTGTAAGAAAAAAAAATAAAAGCTTTAGTTGGAGAGTATTTCAATCCAACTAGATCGGATCTACCTGAAGTTCCAGTAGGTTATTCGCTTTCACTTTGATATTAATTGTTTCTCAAAATATTTGAAAGATTCTATAATAAAGGGGGCTATTAGTATTGCAGCGCTAATATATAGTGTATAGTGAAGTTAAATTATTCAGTTTTCAAACATCTCAAATGTTTTAGACAAATCAAAATTAAAGGCTCTACTTTAATATTTTCACTACTTCTATCCAAATTACAATTTGAGCTTAACCCGTCTTACCCTATGAGTTTGTGTAACCCTTAAGAGCAATATAAACACAACGTGTATTGTTCTGGAGTCTGAAGACATTTTTCATTTTTTATGTAAGATCTACAGATATCAATAAAATAAAGATCAGTCTGAGATATATCGTCAACTAGGCAGTTATTTCTTTTTTTCTTATCTCGTCAAAATAAGACTATAAAAACATCAGAATAAACTTATTAATGGAATAAAAATTAAAAATTAGATTATTCTCACGAAAAATTAACAGTAATTTTTTGTCACTATATGTCTAACTATGTTTAATTAGTAAGCAATTATATATAAAAATATATAAATATGTATTTGTAAATAATATTAAAAATTGTATTTTTTTGACAAATAACTGGATCAGTTTGTATATTCCGTCCTTTTTAGTTCCTAAAGTATGTTATTTACCTAATTTTTTTAACAACTTGATATTTTTTTTGTTATTTTTCTAATACCAAAAATAAAAGTGAAATTCTTCTGGTATCTTCTGGATTCTTCTGGTATTCTTCTGGTTATTAATAAGATTTAAGTAATTCAAATCTGTATGTACTTTCATAAATCGTAGCTATATAAAAAGGACACAAGGAAGAGGAAAACTTAAGGCAAACAATTTCTACTAAATTTAACCAACAATTTGTGTTCCTTACAAAGAAAGTAAACCAAGTATTATTTTGTTGATTTGGGTCATGACTACCAACGCCTTCCTGTGACTTCAAACGGAATTTTAAGTATTTTGAGGGCGATGCTAGTGCACATCGTTATAAATACTGGTGCACATGTACGAGGGCAGCTCCGCCCACTGCAATGCAAGTTTTCTACAAAATTAGTATAACGAAAACATTGAGTTTGGTATTCCGCAATAGGGAAATTGATTGACGTTTCAATGTTAAAAAAATTTCATTAAAAAACATAATTAAGTGAGTTAGCAAACAGCAAAATTAATCAAAGAAATACGATAATTTTTGTTATCATATTTATGCACAACAAGGGTTTATAAACGTGGGGAGTTGTAAAAGTTTTGGATTTAATTTTAAAACTCAAGTTTTCAAAGTTCTAGCTCTTGTTTTTTTTTTTTTGATATGTCTATGTTTTGCGATATATCTTATATCGATATATCCCGACAATATATTAACCGTTCAAGGTTTTCATATTATACATTACATTAAAAACTTAAAAATATTTATTTTTAGCTGATAGACATCTTTATTTGATAATAAAGTTTGTCTTTCGAACCAAATTTTTAATTTTGAAAACATAAATAAACACGAAGGACAAGTTCTGGTATATTCTTAACTATAGTAGCTACCGAAGTGTGAGTTGATGTATTGTCTTTATTTTTTAATAAATTTAAAACATTTAACAAAAATTTTTATTTTCCAACAGCGAACATTTTGTGCATCTTTAACCCATTCGGTTAAAACAGGAGAAGCCGGGTTCAAACTGAACGACTATTCACTACGATTATATTTACTGTCAGTTACCTACGCTTTTTAATCTGCTTATAATGATGTCAAGTTGTCATTTTAATATCCCGATACTATTTTGCTTAATTTCATAAACATTTACAGTAAACAAATTAAAATAATAATTATTATTTATACCTTTCATAGTAATTTTAGATTTTTGATCTTTTGAGAATTATATTCTTTAGGATTGTTCCTAAAATGGAGCATGTATTATCTCTGTATTAATATTTCCATTTTCGAAATTTATTTCCCAGTTATGCGAATGACCTCCGTATATGCAATTACTTTTGTGTTGAGTTGCTTTCTTATAAATTATGTATACTGATCAATATATAATTGATTCTGTATCACAATTAATTTAATTAATTAACATGTATTGTAAGATACATGTAATCTCTTACAAATGTTCTTATACATTATAATTCACAAATATATTACGATATATGTCATTGATAAGTCATGAAGCAACACTTTTGTCACAAGTGTGTGACAATTCAGCAAACAGCAAACTGGAATTGCTATTGCAATTATAACAAATAGGCTACTTAATGTGTCACTCATCCTTAATCCCCAACATGTCTTTTCCCCTTAGCAAGTCCAACCAAAAACGTAAAGTGCATTACTGTTTGTATTTTTGTGTTTATACACTTGTGTATTCTATGCAAAGTGCACTTTAGGCAGACAAAAGCCTTAAAAGGACATCAACTTGCACGCATTAAACACAAAGCGTACATACCAAAAAGTATGTCAAATGCAGCTAAATATTCGGTCTATATATATGTTGTATACATATATATGTATATGTATACATATAGGTATGCATTGTTGTGTACTCTACATAAAATACTTAAAGATTTATGCCTCTTCCGTTGGCAGAATGTATGTAGTCCTCATTCAAAAGTATCAAAGTGTTCTATTTTGCATTATTTTTCATTGTTTTTGTTTTTCTTCGCTTGTAGATACTACAGCGAATAGAGGTTCTTTGTTTTTGCAATACCAGTACTCTCAGTGGCAGTGCTTTGGTGTGCTTAACTTGGATTTGCCTCCAGTAATGCTAGTGTTCGTTCAGTTGCATACTCACACTGCAGTGAATACACTCAGAAAAAGGAAAGTAAGGTCAACGCAGCGGTGCATAGCACAGCATTAATGTGACATGTATAATTTTATTTTATCTTAAATTTTATAAGTTTCAACTTTTCAAAGCTGAGGTTTCATACTGTATTAAAATTATTATATATTTTTCATTAAAAGATTTGAAACAATCGATCTGTATTTCATAATATAGATATTTTACAAATGCGCCCAAAACCTTAGTTGCGTGTATTTGTAATAAACATGTGATATTATAGTTATTGATGGTAATTTTTGTGGTAATTGACTTGTTTATTATGTAGTGTATTTATAAAATTTATTTATGTGTAAAATTCTTAGTTCGATTATTTTTTAATAAAAATATTCTACAACATATATATGAGCTGGAACAACTCACTACACATTCCTCTCTACAACCGGAAACTTTACGACCGCGAGCTTAAATTTCACTCATAGTCATTACGCAAGTATGCGCCAGTTTTATTCCATTCACTTATAAAAACTTCAAATACGTCTTAGTCTAATTGCATAGGTATCAGAAAACAAATAATTACAAAGATATAAACATATTGACGTATAAAGTCATTTCTTTCTTACTCTAAAATATGCTCAAATAACGCTCACCACTTCTCAAAATATGTGAACCATATGGGAGAATGCTGTCCAATAAGCGTCAACTCGAGGGATGCTAGTAAATCTTTAAGAATCTTAAATAGTGAGCATAATATTTGCAATTAAAGAGTAAACCCACCAAGACAATGTCATTAGTATGTTCCGACATAAATGATAAACCTTTTTCAAGTTCTCTGTTTGACAGTGACACTACCAAGCAAGAATGTTTACTAAGTTGGAAAAGATCTTTTGATTAAAACTTTTGATTATAAATAATTAAAATTATCTAAAAATATTTGGTATCCGCAAGCAACTGTTTGTTTCAAAATAACAAAAATCTAACCAAATTGCGAATAAAATGCTAACAAAACTAAGAATACCATTTGCCAGTTCAGTAGTTACTTTGCCCTAGAGATAGGTGATCATTAACACACTTTGTGTTGAGGATTGGTAAGCTCTACAAAAATATAACATGTCAAAGACAACATGTATTACCCGTGAAGTCTTGGAATTGTGTCAATTTGTCTGGGTGAACCTTCTTATATTAATTAAAATATGTAACAGAACGATGATTGGTTTAAAAGTTGTAATGATGATTATTTTCATTATCGCTACTGTTTAAAGTATTGATTATGAATCTATCAGAGGGCTGATGTTGGAACAGCGCAACACATTTTAAATAAGCTGATAAGATTTATAATTACAGATTTCTATCAGATCGACTTTTTTCAGCATTCTTGAGCCAGAGTACTGAAAGTGTATTATGGCTTTTGCACGACTATTTGTTTATTAAGAACCAAGTACATAATCTGTCATGTTTCTGTCGTCTTAGTTTAAAAAGTTGGATATAAATATAAAATAAAAATATTAGAAACTTTCGACGAAAGATATTTATATCCTGTTCCAGACAATTTAAAATACTCTATATATAGTTATAATTGGTATATTAATTGGAACTTTTTAATATTTTTACTTTTAATGTATTGTTTTTTGTTCTATATTTATAAAAATATATAAAATATAACTGAAAAATTATTATAAAATTTTATAATGAAATACTTTTCTCCAAATCTTAAACTAGATCTAGATTAGGTTCTATAC